CCCTGCCTCACGGTCCCCGACCCTCAGGGTGCGGTTCTACGAGGGCCCCGAGCTGGTGGCTGACAGCAATGTGATCTTGGACACAACCATGCGGGGGGGCCGCCTGGGGGTCTTCTGCTTCTCCCAGGAGAACATCATCTGGGCCAACCTGCGCTACCGCTGCAATGGTGAGCCGAGGGCACCCAGGGCAGGCAGGGTGCCGGTGGGAGTCTGCCCCACAGCCCCTCCCCAGCCCTCTCACCTGCCCTCTCTCTGCAGACACCATTCCTGAGGACTACGAGATGCAGCGGCTGCGGCGGGCCTAGAGCCTGGGCTGGGGACCTGCCGCCGGAGGACGGGTGTCCTCACTGTGGCCGGGTCGGGCTCCGCATCCAGCCCCAAGGGGCAGTGGGCCTGGAGGGAAAGTGAGAAGTGCTCAGAGAGGAGAAAATAAAGTGTGTGCAGGGGACAGCGGCTGTGGTCTCTGCTGCTCGGAGATGGTAGGGACAGGGCTCCGGGCAGGGCTGGGCCGAGGGACCTCAGACAGATGCCTTGACAAGTGGGAACCTGAGGCTGCTGCCAACCCTCCTGGCAGGCCAGGGCCCAGTGGCCTGCTGGGAATGGTCTAGCCCCCACTTGAGGAGGTCCCCTGGTCTGCCGGTACATCCCACCCACTTGTGGTAACTGGCTGGGACCCCAGCCATGGGCGAGCTGAGACCCCCTACTGCAGCGTCTGCCCTGGGATTCTGGGGGGCAGGGTTCTCAGTCACTGGCCCAGGTTTGAGGATCCCGCCCCCCGCCTGGTCAGGGGTGTGTGTGTTTGGAGGGGCCCCTGCCATTCCCATTTCCCAAGGAGGAAGGGGAGGGGGCGGGAAAAAATGGGAAGAGGCAGAGATGAAATCGCTGCATTTTTATTATGTTTCATTACAAAGGATGCAAAGATACAAAGACAAAAGCATCCGCGCCGGAGGATGGGGCAGGGACCGCGGAGTGTGCCCTGAGCCACCTGCCCCTGCCCGCTGTGGCCACCCATGCACATGGCCCATGGGACGTCCGCAGCAGAGCATACATGCTGGAGGGGGCAGAGCCAGCCTGGGCACAGAGGGGCACAGGCGGGGACAGGGCTTGGGCCGGCGGGTTTGCATATATCAGTGGGGCCACCAGCCCCTGAGGGGCAGCTTCCTACCGGGGGACCCGGCAAAGCCCATGGACCTTGGCTGCCAATGCCCTCCCTCCCAGGGCCTAGTGGCCAAGGCCACAGCTATGTCCCCTTGTCCCTGCTGGGCAAGAGGTCATAAGTGCTTGGTGGCTGGGCTTGGCTCAGAATGGATGGCCCCCAAATTCCAGAACCCTGTGAGACAGGGGGGCCACCGCCTGACCCCAACATGTGCCACATGTCCCTAGCTCCTGGGGATGGATGCTGGGAGCTGGCCGGGAATCTGGAGGGCAGGGAAGCCTCTGAAGCTGTCTGGAGCCAGCACCACCCGAGGCCCAACCGCGGCCCCCACCCTGCCCAGGAGGAGCCTGGGGCCCTGAGACCTGCAGGTCTGAGAAAGTGACAGGAGGGAAACTGAGGCTCAGATCATGGGGAGCTTGCTCCTGTCCCCCCATGCCCTTGGCAATACCCCAGAACCGAGGCCTGGGGGTGTGGGTCACCCTACCTCCTGCTCCTAAGGGAAGAATGGTGTCTGTGGCCAGTGTGGGTGCACTATGGGGTGCCTGACCCCTGCCTGGCCAGAACCCCCAAGGCCAGGGGCCACGAGAAACAGGACAGCTGGCTGAGGCCGAGCTGGCTGGGGTGAACATCCCGGGGACCCCAAGTCACATGCCGTGAGGCCCCCAGGAGGTGGGGGCCTATGGTCTGAGAACAGGGTCAAGAGGGACCCAGCTGCCTACATGCCCCAGCCAGGCCTCCCAGAGTGGGTGACAGGCCGAGCCCTCCCCAGGGCTCCAGGCCACTCGGGGAGGCTCTGGCGCCCAAGGCCCCCCACCTGGAGCACCACCTGCAGATGACGGCAAGGCCAGGGGCGCCCCAGTGGCCCCCACGTCCCACCCTCACGCTGAGGGCCCCTCAGCCTCTGACTGATGGCTCCATCAGGACCCAGTGAGGGTGACAGGAGCTGCTGTTTTATCAGGGTGGGACCCCCGATACTGTCAGGCCTCCCCGCCCCCTCAGCCAGTACCGGGGAGGGGAGCTGCACTCTTTGGAAATACAGAAAACTCGGAATCCGGGTCAGAGCCGGAGTTTGGAAAGATGTTTGGTTACGAACCAGCTCGAGGTCTGCCTGAGGGGGGCGCTAGAGTCCCCAGGGCTCTCAGGCCCAGGACCAGGCAGAGGGGACCGCAGCCCCGCCCAAGCCCCCTGGGCCTCTTACCCGCTTCTGTCCCACAGCCCCCAAGCCTGACACCCGAGCCCCAGCAGGAGGGTTTGATGGCCATCAGCCGTCCTTGCCCACCGCGCAGTGACGCCAGGCGAGGCGAGCTCCTGGGAGCTCAGCCCCCTGAGGAAATTAGGCCAAAGACACGAACGTCAGCACCCCCTCTTCGGAGCCAAAAACCCACAAGCAAATGACAGCTGGGCCCCGAGAGGGGCACAGAAGCCTCTTCCTCGAAGGGCACAGAGAGGGGCTGACCCCTCAGGGGGACACACTGACCACACTAGGCAGTGACGGAGGGTAAACCAAGGCAGGTGGGGGCGTCACACTGTCAGGGCGCCCCTGCCTCACTTCCGTCCTGGGAAAGGTCCGCACAGCAGAGCGGCCGAAGCCGGGAGCACGAGGGAGGGGCGGGGTGGGGGAACAGCCCGGCCTCCAGCCCGCGCGGACCAAGCGCCCAGGCCTGTCCGGAGCAAGCGAAGATGCAGGCAGCGGGTTTGCACGCATGCCCCGCGGCGCAGCACCTCCAAAGTCACAGCCTTTGCACATCACAAAGAAAAGGGCCGGTTCCCTTAAGCTGTCTTGTTTCGGAAAGTCTTGGCAATTCAACAATATTTAGTAGAGAAGTGATATTTAAAAAACAAAACAAAATAAACCCAACAAACACAAAATGCCCTGATGCAGACCCTGGGAGGCCTGCCCAGGCCCAGGAGGGCTGCGGACCCTTCCAGAACCCGGGCACCCCTCGCCCCTGACTCCTGGCTGGGCCCCGGGGACCAGCACAGCCCCATACCTTCCTGGGACAGTCTGTTGAGTTCTCATTGGAAAAGGAACTCTGTAACGGACTGAGGCTGTCCCGTTAATACGATGCCACCGTGCACCTGGCTGGAGGAAGCTGAGAGTGGGCCACGGACCAGGGATGCTTGGAGGTCAGTGTCCCTCCGCCCCTGCCTTTCTGCACTGAGAACCTGGCGACAGCAGCAGCAGGGGCTGCCATCGTGCCAGCGTTCCCTAGCGGGTCCCCGACGCCTTGTTTGAAAGTTGCATCCAGGCAGGCTGCTTGTAATTTTATTAAGGCCATTTTTTTTAAAAGTTCTACATACAAGTCTAATGGAAATCAAACTCACCTATGTACATGTAGTTTTTCTTTAAAAAAAAAAAAATTGTCCCCACTCTCTGCCCCCGGCCTCTGTCATGGTAAGAGAAAGCCTGTGTCCTGGCCAGACCAACACCGCGTCCCCGTCCCGCTCAGAACAGCGGGCAGCAGCTAGCACTTCTCACGGAGTGGCCGTCTGGCCGCTGTGACACGTGCTAACAGAGGGGAAGGGACAGTCGCTAGGATTGAATCTGGCTCCCGAGGACAGACAAGATCCGTAACACCACAAAGAAACGCACCACGCAGAAGGTGCCAGCCCGGCAGGCAGAGGAGCCAGCAAGAGCGACAAGATGCAACGCCGGGGGGGGGGGGGGGGCAGAAAAGCGGTTCCTATTCCACAGTGGCCGACAGAAAACCAAGCCAGCCCCGACACCCCCCTGCAAGGCCTGTGGTGCGGAGGGAGGTTGGGATGGCCCCCACATGCCCTGTCACCCCAGCCCTGGAGGTGCTTCTGGAACCTGCCATCAGAACACACTCTGCTGTCTGCCGCCACGTCCACTTGACTCAGCTCCGAGCCTGCCAAGGAGCAACTGGCGGCCGACTCTGCCCATGGGCGGGGGCGGGGGCCAGGAGCTGCAGGGTAGGGTGGGGAGGGGACAAAATGCCAGCTCTGCCCTGATTCTCAGGGCGGACCAGTAAGAAGACAGCCTCATCTCGGGAGTGCTCACCGCCCCCCGCCAGCCCAAACACCCTTGGGGCAGACACGCTTCGTGGGTCCTGGGGTCTTCGACACGCCTGCTCTGAAAACTGGTGGGCACCTTCCAGGAAGGGCAGGTGGGGCTGGTCTTCGAAAGACCCTCAATAAAAGCAGAGGCTCCTTCCTGGAAGTCGGTTACGTGGAAGCGGAGGCACCTCTGGCTACTGCGAGCTTCTGCCAAGGCCTCAGGGCCCACCCAGCCCTGTGGTTTTGTGACAACTTGGGGCGAAACTCAAAAGGCCAGACGGGCCGCTTAGGCAGGGCGGGCGCAGACCGCTGCTGGGCGCATCACCGACTTTTCCAGTTAGCTTAAAAAATAGATAACGTAGGATTTCCAGAATAAAAACATGCTCTCAGGCAAGTGTTGGCTTGAAGGATTCAGCTACTCGTCTACAACCAAAATGTAAATACAAACCAAAAGAAAAAAACACGACAAGATTTCCCAGGCCGCCTCCTGCCACCCCTTAAATAACAGCACGCATCTGTGACCGTGCCGGCAAGCACAGCGCGGGCGGAGGAGGGAATCGAGCTCTGCCCCCCAAATCCCTGCCACTGTGTGCGACCCCTCCAGGCCCTTCCGTCCTGGCTGGGTGCTCCGCGGCAAGGGTGGCCACCAAGGGACCTGCCTAGGGGTGAGGCAGTTCTGGGGTGACGGAAAGGGGCGAGGAGGGGGCGTCGGGGTCCAGCTGCCTTGCACGCTGTCCTCTGCGCACCCGCCAGGGCGGTGCCAGCGCTGTGTACGTGCTCAGAAATATAGAAGACAGCCGTCAAAATAGTGTTTATTTCACTTTGCGTCCACCCCTCGCTCCGGCGCCTTCTCCCCTAGGCAGGGCCGGGCTCGCTCTCTGCCTAACCACGGGCTGGGGGTGGCGGGTGGGTGGGGGACCGGGGACGAAAAAGGCAGTGAGAGCTGGACAACAGTCGGAAAATGCACCGCGGACCATGCGCGCCCCTCCCCTGAGCCCGCCGCCTTGCTGCACCCTACAGGAACGGCCGTCACCCCGAGGGGGGCGAGCAGCCAGTGCAGGGAGGGTCTGCGGGGGCGGGGGGCTCACAGCCTCCGATCCCAGCCTGGCCTCAGGCGGGCAGATAGCCGCCCGGCGCACGGCCTCACGCTGGGCTTCGCGGGAGCTGGACAACCGGGGGACAGGCTGGCGGGAGCGCTTGGCGGCATTGCAAGCTCAGAATCACAAGCTCGGCCGTTGGCGAGGGACGGAGTGCGGCCGTCCCCAGGCTGGGGAGACGCCATCAGGACCGCTGAGCGGTGGCGGGGTGCCCGGCATGCCCGCTCACAGACGGTCCATCCGGAAGGTGTCCTCGGTGGCCGGGTCGGCCAGGACCATGTCGGGGTCGTTGAGCATGTGCAGTCCGTCCAGGGTCAGGGGGTCGATCTTGAGTTCGTCCAGGGGGAACTGGTTGTCAGAGTCGAAGCTGACGTCGCCGACCCCAGCCAGAGAGCTGGTCAGTTCTTTAGAGAGGCTGGGGGGGGACTCTCCCGTCACTGGGGGGTAGGGGTGGAGACAAAAGGCACAGCTTAGCCCCGGCTTCACGGCCCCAGAAACTGTGCCTCCATCACCCCCAACGCTGGGTCAGACCAGGGGTGCTCACCCAGGAGGCTCTGTCCCCTGGGAGACACTGACAATGTCTGGGGACACTATGGTTGTCAGGACTAGGGGAGGGGATACGAATGGCAGCTGGTAAGTGGCGGTCAGGGACGCTGCCCGACACCCTGCAGTGCACAGGACGGGCCCACCACAAACTATCCGGCGCCAGATGTCAGCGGGCGGAGAAAGCCCGGGCTGAGGGCTGCACCACTGATGAACGAGAAGGTTGCAGGGACCTGTCCCACCCACAAGGCTTTGCCGAGAGGTCTGCCCCATAGGAGTCACCGAGAGGCAGGCTGGGGTGAGCGTGGGTGCATGGGGCCCTCCCTGCGGGGACCCAGCTGCTGCTCCGGTTGGAGGAAGCCCTGGATCCCCCACAAAAACTCAGGTTCAAACTCAGGCTCCCTCCTCTACCCTCAGCGAGATGCTGGGCCTCAGTGTCCAGATCTGGCAAATGGTCTGAAATCCCCGCCTTCCTAGGCTGTTGGGAAAATCACAGGGGTCGGACTCTCGGATTTTTCTCACGAGCTTGAGGCCGGAGCTTCCACCCCGGAGCATGGCACTGGCCACTGCCACACCCACAGGGAGGGGAGGAGGCACCAGACTGTGCACTCGGAGCCCAGGCCCTAGGGGGCTCTAAACACGGACCCCTCCACCCTGGACATGCCAGTGGGGCAGCTGGAGGGTTCTCACCCTCAATGCCCTAACAGCTCTGGCTCGTAAGTGAATCGCTTCCTTCCCTGACAAAACCCAGACTCCCCAGGGAAAGACGGGAAGAGGGGTGGCTGTCAGGAGGTCTGGGTTCTCTCGTAAATGGAGCAGTGATGTCCTCGCATGTGCTGTGCGGGACGGGGGCGGCCTGTCCCTGGGTGCCATGCTCTGACTGCTTGGGGGTGCTTGTCACAGCACCTGAGGGCCCTTTGGGGTCTGCTGGCTGCACCGGGTGGGTCCACCGCGCAGGGCCCCGGCCAGTCACCTGTAGCCCGGCACACACCCAGCTACCGCAGGCCAGCGCTGGGCCGTGGGCACGGGGCTCCTGGCTGAGTTGGTTGGGCGAGTGACCGGCTCTGTCCTAAGCACAGGGCACCGGACGTCTGGCCCAGGTGTCTCCCTGGCCTATCCTGAAGCCCAGGGGTGAGTCAAGTTGAGGAGGTGTAGGGGGTCTGGCTTCCTTGGGCCCCCCCACGTGCAGGGACATAGCCTCAGACCCGCTGCGCTCTCCCCCTGCAGGGCAGGGGGCTCCTGAGCCTGGCTCCGTCTCCCAGCCACCAGCCCCAGCGGTGGCCTCACCTGTGAGGATGATGTTGGGGATGCCGCTGTGGCTGGGGTAGCCAAGCTGCTGCGCGTCCGCCAGGCTCCCGTGGCTGCCCGTGAGGCCCATCATGGCCGCCTGCGAGTAGTTGAGCGTCGAGCCGGGGCTGTACAGGCTGCTGGAGCTGATGGCGTTCTCCATCATGTTGAACTGCTCCAGCTGGGAAGGGAGGACACCAGGCAGTGAGGACCCCCTTGGGCCCCGCCCAGCCAGACGGCCCGGGGCCTGGCCGCTGTTGGCTGGCGCCCGAGTGTGGCCGCGGACGCCACCCCTGCAACTCGCCCGGCACTGAGGCTGCTGAGCACAGACCCCTGACCCCAGGCCTCCCCCTCCCACGCGAGCCTCGCTGGATGGATGGATGGATGGATGAGCAAGTGAGTGACCAGTTCCAGGCCGCGGCCAAGCCCTCCCGCGCCTGGATGCTCCCGACCTGGCCTCCAGCAAAGCCAGCGCAACCTCCCGGCAAACCCGCGTGCACAGCCCATGCCCCGCCCTGCCCAGGGTTCGCCGCCTGCCCTTCTTCCCCTCTGCCCTTGGCCTCCATTCGCAGGCCAGGTGCACAGGCCACGCAGGGCAGGGCAAGACACCCTCCCAGGGGCCGAGGCCTCTGCGGCCCGCAGAGGACGGGACGGGCGGGGAGCTGAGGAGCAAAGCCAAGGGGCAGGCGGGCTCCTCCGAGCGCATGTAGCCCGGACTCGCGAGGCCCAGGTCCCGGAGAGCGTCTGCCCTGGGCACTAGCTGGCCAGCGGCCTGGGCACCCGCTCACCTGGTGGGACAGAGCATTGGCCTGCCTGGCCGCCATCTGCTGCTCATAGTACGCGTCCCCAAACACGCTGCCCAGGGTGGAAGAGTGCTGCAGACAGAAGAGAGGCCTGCTGTGGTCACAGCCCTGAGAGCAGGCAGGGAGTTGGCACCTCCCAGACCTGGCGGGAGGAGGAGAGGCCCCTGGAACCTCCTGGATGACGCTTGGGATGCAGGAGGCTGATGACGTTTCTCTTGGGGTTCCTGGGGTGCCCCTCAATCCCAGATGACTGCTTTTGTCCCCCACCTGCTCCTGGAGGCCTCTGTACCCTGGCATCTCCCCAACTGCCATCCTGTCCCTTCTCCTGAGCCGAGGTGCGGGAGGCCCATTTCCGTCACGTGGAAGGTGGGGCTCCAGGGATGAGGAACCCCCGCCCAGAGAAGAGCTCGTCACGGGGGCAAGGCAGGAGGTACCTGGAAGTTATGTTCAGGACAGCAACCTCTGAAGTGGCCCCGGGAAGACACGGGACAGGACGAGGTGCACACACATGGATAAGACGGGCACACGAAGACGGGCGCACGGAGCCAGCCGAGCCAGCAAGGGACAGGCCCAGGGAAAGCCCCCACCCAGGCTGCCTGCCCATGGGACCCCGGCCCTGCCCCTGGTATCCGGGGCCAGCCAGGGCTCTCGGAGGCAGGGGGACAGGGGCTGTCCCTGGCACCACAGCCATCCCCAGGCGTGTGCCCAGCAGGCATCCAGGTAAACACTCCACAGACCAAAGGCCCTGGAGCCCCTCTCCGGGAGCTCCCCTTCTGAGTTTTATTCTAGAAAGATTTCCACGTGCTTGGACAACCCAAAGCTTGAGTCTTGGGCCTCAGTCCCAGAGAGGGGCTGGCCACAAACCCACTGGCCGTCGCTCCGGGCGCTCAGGGGCTAAGAGCGGGAAGAGACAGCCCAGTGGGTGAGGGGCCTGTGCAGTCAGACGTCCCATTCAAACACCAGGAAAGGCTTTAAATGGTGAACCAAGGAAGGACAAGTTCAAAAATCCTGCCTTGGCCCTAGAAACCAACAGCTTCAGGTTTTGGACATGAGGGTCACAAGTTTATGGCTTGGTTTACCCAAGAAGAGGGAAGTGGATGATGGGTAATTTCACATCGGCTGCCACAGACCTCGTCCAAGGCTGAGGGCAGGTCCGTTCTGGGGCTCAGGGTGCCGGGTGGGGCTGGGCTTCTGAGATGCACCTGATCTTGTCCCCATGGCCTTGGACTCAGAGAGGCCTGGCACATGCACGGGGACAGAGGCTGCAGTTTCTCTTGTGAGGCTGCCAAGCAGGTTTGCCGTAAAGATCAGCTCCGAAGGAAGGAGGCGGCCACACGTGGGACCAAATTGCAGCTGCCTGAGGCCCGGGGCCTGGCTGGGGCAGGACAGGACGGCCCGATGGCCAGGCGTGGTGGGCGAGGCTGAGGTGGCTGCCCCGTGAATCCAGGCAGATGAGGGCCCGGGCAGGGAGGCGTGCGGTACCCTGGATTTGTGGGGCCCATGAGCAAGTCCTCAGAGACCCAGCCGCAGAGGGAGCCTGGAACATTCTGCCTGAGAGTTCCCTGCTTCTCACATCAGCACCCAACAGACGCTAGACACACAGACACAGGCTTGACGAGACGGCCACCTGCTCTCTGCTCGCCAGACTAATCCGCTTTGATTTGGGGACGAAGAATTAACGGACCATTCAAGCGACTCTCCCCTGAGAATCTGCTCAGCCCGATGCCTGTCCTGCTCTGCCTCGAACACGAGGACGCGTCACTCAGGAATCAGCCCCACGCCAGGCTGCCCACCTGGGACAGGCCCCCCTGCCGCTTCTCCTGCCTGGACCAGCGTCCCTCCCCCAGTGGTGCCACATGACAAGACAGTCGCCGGAGCCCGAGAGCTCAGAGCCGGGTGGGTGGACCGAGCATGTGCAGACACCAGGTGACCCCCATGCTGCCCCGAGTGCACCCCCACCCTCCCCACTTGCCTACGGGGCAGGGGCTGCAGGAGGTGGCCCCAGAGGGTCCTGGGCTGATGGGCAGATGTGCCCACACACGACCGAGCTGGAGCGATGGGGACGGAGGGGCCTCACTGTCCTTGTCTGTGGCACCTCGTGGCATGTGCCCTGTCTGGGACAAGGGAGCCGAACCTCGTTCCTGGAGGAGGACGGCACCTGCTGTTGTGCTGGCAGGAGGGAGGACCCTACTGTGCCCCCGAGGTGCGGAGGACGGCGGCAGGGCTCTGGGCATGGCAGTGGCTCTTAGCCGTTTCTCAGCTGGGTGACATTCTGGGGATGGGATGGCCCCGGGGTGGTGGGGGCCTGGGAGGGATCTGCTGCCAGGGTGAAAAGTCGGGGGCCGTGGGTGTCCCTTCTCCCCCAGCAGAGGTTCCAGATAGAACGCGGCTCTCCTGAGACTGAGGCCACACCGAGACGCCAGGGCAAAATACGAGCAGAGCCGACCGAGCAGTGAGCCAGCCTGGATGCTTCCTCGGGCGGGTGTGGACGTGGGAGAGGGCGGGGGCATCTGACAGCCGGGGTCCAACTGTGCCAAGTGTGGCGGAAAAACACAAGCCCGCCGGATGAGGTCACACCTGCCCAGTCACCTGGGGCCAGCCTCAGTCTCCACATCCATGGGATGGGGACAAGGGTCCCTGAGACGCTGCAGAGCTGCTCGGAGAAGCTTCCTGGGCTAGGGGTTCTCGTGGCCGAGGGACACGCCTTCCTATGGGTGGAGGGGAGAGGTGGGGGCTGAGGAGTGGGAGCCTCTCCCTCCACCTCCGGGAGCGCAAGTTCAAGGCTGCAGGGCAACCAGGCTCGGGTTCCCGCTCTGGACTGCACCTTGGGTGGATTCTGGTGCCCAAAGGGTGAGGAGAGGCATCACTACTGGGCCGCTCAGTGGGGACACCCAGGTGTGGCCGCCACAGGGCTACTGCCATTACTATTGTCACTAAATGGAGCGAGTCGTCTCTACCACTCCCAGCTGGTGCTTGGCAGTGACCACAAAGACACAACGGGAATCTGGCAGCTGCCAGGAAGGGGCCTGTGGCAGCTGGAGGCAGAGCCCCTCCCCTGCCTTCGCCCAGGGCAGGCGTCCCCGGCCCCGGCCCCACCCGTGCAGCCTGGTGCGTGCACAGCTCTGGTCTGATGGAGTGGACGAGATGGGATGGAGCGAGGCGTGAGGCACAGACAGTGGGCGCGCGGGCGGGGGGCACAGGGGCGTGAACCGAGACTGGAGTGTGGGCCGGGGCAGAGGGTGAGGCGGCGTCCCTTACTTGTGGGGAGCTCCCGGGGGAGAAGCCTTGATTGGAGACAGGCGAGGTGGGAGACTGGTTGGCCGGGGAGCCGGCGCTAGTGCGGTACTGCTGCAGAGCCGGGGCCTGTGACGACAGACGGGTCAGGACGCCCTGCGTGCCCTGGGGCTCCAGTCCTGGCCTCCTGGGAGTGGCCTGTGCCTCAGTGAGCCCCCCAGAAGGCCCCCCCACCTCAGATGCCTTGGTGACCAGTGCCACCCTGCGAGTAACCAGACCCTGGGCACCTGCAGGAAGGCGGGTCCCTGAGCCCTGTCAGCCTGAGATCTTGGGGGACCTGCGTCCAAAGCCAGCTCCCCGGGAAGGAGTGGCGTGGAGGGAGGGGGCTGCAAGGACCCAGAACCCAGCCTCATGGAGCTGCCCTTCCCAGGGCTGCAGGAGGGTGACCGAAGGGTCGGCCTCCACTCAGCAGGCTTCAGAGCCACACAGCAGTGTGTGCACACACATGCACACAATGACACCCACACACGTGCACACACCCATGCGTGCACATCGCATACACCCGCACCCGTCCACACGTCCAAACCCACACATGAGTACACACGCCCACCCAGGTGGGTGCTGCCTTCTGCCCCTGACTGCCCTCGCTGTGCGCCCTGGGCAGGTCCCCTGGCTCCCAGCCCCACGTCGCAGGCCCAGCCCGCCTCTCGGCCATCCCGCACACCGCGGGCTCCCAGCATGGGGCGGCCGCCAGCCTGGCACCCCTTGGGACAAGCCCGCCTGAGTGCTGCCCGGAGAGACTCTGAGGGGCGGCTGCCTCCTCAACCCGCTTGCGGGACAGGGGCCTGGCTTCTCACTGTGGTGACCCGCCCCTCGGAGACAGGGCCAGGCCAGGCTGGGGCCTGGAGCCAGACCACACCGCGGCCCTAGCCCAGACCTGTGTGCCTGTGCACCAGCTGCCTAACCTTTCTGAGCCTGCTGGTCAAGGAGGCCTGGTCAGCTGGCCCAGGGCCCCGTGATTGCTTCATCCCCCCCATTTCCTCAGTGGCCCTGAGTAGTTTGGGGGGCTGAGTCCAGGCGGGGCAGAGGCAGGGTGGATGGGGGTTAGGCTTGCTCAGCAGAGGGGTGGTGGTGGAGGTGCCAGCGTGGTCACCTGGGGATGACCAGCTCGGGCCTTCCCAGAGTTGGAAAGGAGAGTGACCAGGGAGACCGCCCTCACCTGGTGAGTCTGTGCGGAACCTGTTCTCCAACCCAGCAGCCCTGGGAGGGGCCGCCTCTGCACCAGGCCCGGACACCTCGTGTCTCCTAAGACCACTCGGCTCCAAAGCAAGGCCCTGTCTTCAGAGACTCCCCCGGCACCTGCCTGGCTGCTTTCTTCCCTGGGGGAGCCATGGCTGGGTGCCCTCCGAGGGGTCAGAGAAGCTTAGGAATGTGGGTCTCTACCTATAGGGTCACCTGTCTGCCCCACCCAGTGCAGGGGGCCTGCTCTTCGCAGAGTGCATGATATTTTGATGCCATTAGCCGGGGGCTGGCAGCTGAGGGCTGTGTGCGAAACTCCCTGTGCTCCCGAATGTGGCCAAATGTGGCTGTGCCCCACCCGTCCGCCCCCACTGGAGCAGCTAGGATGAAAGTCTGGATGGGCGGGAAGGTTTGCAGTACAGGGGTGCAAACCCAGCGCCCGTTACTGAGCCTGGCCCTGGGCACGGGATCCCACGGGCTGAGCTGCAGCCTTCTGGCCCTGCCTGTGCTCGGATGCCTCACTCGTGAGCCTAAGGTCTCCCAGGGCCGGCTTTGTCCTTCCTTCCCCTCTGAGTTCACGTGGGTCCCCTGGCTTCTGAAGTCCGCTCTCTGGGCCCTGGGAGATCTCATCTGGCTCCCAGGAAGCCTGGCTTCAGGGAGGGGCCACGGTGACCAAGAGTGTGTGCTTAGCAGCCTGACGCCATGTGGCCTGCCTGGGGGGAGTCTGGGGCCAGTCAACTTGCTTTCACCTCAGTTTTCCCATCTGTACAAGGGGTGACAATCTCAGCTGAAGGATTCCAAGCGGTAACCCTGTGGAGTGCCCGCTCTGGGGCAGCGTCTGCCTCGGTCCTGAACCCGGCCCCTCAGCCTCAACACGGCTGCCCAACCCGCAGCGGGGACCCCAACTGTCCTCCTGCTCCTCGAGCCCCCAGCCAGGCCCCTGGGACCCCACCCTGGGCTTACCGAGGCGATGTCGATCCCCATTGACGGCTGGCCCGGGTTCTCTGAGGGGGACTGGGGGAGGGAGGACGGTACCGTGACCGCGAGTGGGGGTGGCTGTGGCCCCCGTGTCAGGCTAGCGCTCGGCAGCAAGGGGCCGCCTGGGAGGTGGACGGGTGCTTGCGGGGGTGGCGGCGGTGGCGGCGGCTGGGACGCAGGCGGAGGCGGTGGCGGCGGGGGCTGGGGCTGCGGCGGCGGCTGCTGGGAGCCCGCCTGGGTGAAGAAGGCGTAAGGCAGCTGCTGCTCCAGGGACAGGGCGTCCATGGCCACGGCCTGCGGGGAGAGCAGCATCAGGCGGGAGCCGGGCCAGGCTACGCGCCCTGGTCCCCGAGGGCCCTACACAGCTGGGGTGCTCAGTAACAGTGTGGTGGACGGACCTGTGAGGCCCGGCCCCTGGGCTGCGTGCACCGCACGATGAGGAAGCTGCGGCCTAGCGAGGGCAGGCTGGGGCTGGATGGGGCCTGGCGTCCAACCCAGCCGTCCTGACAAACCCTGTCATCCTCGGTACACACTGCGAGGCTCAGGCAGTCCCAGCGCCGTAGGGCAGGCACGAGCACGGCCACACTCGGGGAGCTCAGCGGGTGGCCAGCCCTTCACTCCTCTGGGGTCCTGCATGGGGAGGAACCCCTTGCCTACTCTGGGGACGCTGGAGAGGACAGGGCTGACGGAGACACCAGCATGCTCACTCAGCAAGGGCTGGCCCAGGACCCCCTCGGGGTTGGCAAGAGGAAAGTAAACAAGAGGGACTTTGTGTGACGTTCGGTGAGTCTGTGTGGAAATTCACAGCCAGGGGGCCATAAAGCCAACGGCCGCTGAGGCAGCCGGGGGTCCTTGTGCTCTGACGCTGGCTGTGCCCAGGAGCTGAGGCACAGAAACACCGAGTGGGGCGCCTGGCCTCTAAGACGCAGGGGGTAGTTTATGAGTGAAAAGGGTTTCCAGATGGGGCAGGAATCACAGATGGACACAGGCTAGCTCGCGGATAGAGCGCCCACAGCTCTGTCCAGATCATGACACAGGACAACCTCACAGGCAGTCAGAGACACGGGGCGTGAGGCACTGGGGGGAAAACAGGTCCAAGCCAGGCATCGGAAGGTCTGGAGGAATCACTGTCATTGTTGGTGGACAATGCCATCGCGGTTATGTCAAAAACAATCATGTAGCCTGGCACAGTGGCTCACGCCTGTAATCCTGGCACCTTGGAAGGCCAAGGAGGGAGGATCGCTTGAGCCCAGGAGTTGGAGGTTACAGTGAGCTATGATTGGGCCGCTGCACTCTCGCTGGGGGCGACAGAGCAAAGACTCTCTCTTAGGGCTAAAAAATTAAATAAAAAGATTATAAAAGAATACTACGAACAACTGCACACCAGCAAGCTGGACAACCAAGATGAGATGGCCAAGTTCCTAGACACACACAAACTACCAACGAAAAGTCCATGAAGGCCGGGCGTGGTGGCTCACGCCTGTAATCCTAGCACTCTGGGAGGCCGAGGCGGGTGGATTGTTTGAGCTCAGGAGTTGGAGACCAGCCTGAGCAAGAGCGAGACCCCGTCTCTACTAAAAATAGAAAGAAATTAATTGGACAACTAAAAATATATAGAAAAAAAATTAGCTGGGCACGGTCGCGCATGCCTGTAGTCCCAGCTACTCGGGAGGCTGAGGCAGCAGAATCGCTTAAGCCCAGGAGTTTGAGGTTGCTGTGAGCTAGGCTAACGCCACGGCACTCACTCTAGCGAGGGCAACAGAGTGAGACTCTGTCTCAAAAAAAAAAAAAAAAAAAAGTCGATGAAGCAAATATGGCAAATTGAAAAAACAAAAGTAAACTCTCTGAACATTTTATTATGGAAGATTTCAACTAGATCCTAAAGAAGAGAAAGAGGCACGATGAAGAATGCCCAGTCACACCCAGGATGAGACAAAGGCCGCCGGGTCTACCAGTGATTGGGTATTTGAAAATTTGATAATAAAAATTAAAAGCGTTGAGAGCGTTCTCAAGATTCCGTGGCCTCCTGGAAGGAGCAGGAGGCCCCCCGGAGGGGCAGAGCCAGGCCCCCACTTTCCCCACCCACATGCCCCCACCTCACCCTCGAACCTGAGTGATGGGTGACAGCGGGGACAGGGTGGGTGACGTCTGCTGCCGCCTTGCCTCTGTGCTCAGGGACAGGGGGCTGACACCGGCCGGGCGGTGCTGCGGAGAAGAGCCGGGTGTGCTCATCCCTGGAGAGGAAGGAGGAAAGGGAGGGGTGGGTGTGAGACGGGATCAGCAAAGGAAGGGCCCTCACACGGCACAAAACAGCTGGACTGCTCAGACAGAAGCCAGGGAGTACGACCCCACTGCCAAACCTGGGATGCCCTCCTCAGAGGCCCCAGTTCCTGACCCTGGCATTCCACAGCCCAGCTCAGTCTCTGTTCTCCTGTTCCTTCCTGCTGGCCCCCAGCCAGCTCTCCAGGAGGGGAGTGTCCCACAGACCCAGCCAATCAGCACGTCCCCCATTCTGGAGCATGATTGGCCCCCAGACGGGCACGTGACCAGGCTGGTTCAATCAGAGCCCGCCCAGGGACTTTGGATGAAATTCCAGGAAGGGCCACCTGAAGCTTTTGGGGGCACCCTGTGACCACAGGGCAGGAGCTGGCTGAAGACATGAGGGCAGAGGCAACACCGGAGCTCCATCCAGCCACACTGGCACTTTCTGCTTTCAGGAAACATCAATCCTCCTTTGCTTGAAATGGCGTGGGCTGCAGTTAGCTTCAAGCAGGTAAGTGTTGCCCAGCACTACGGTTTCCTCTCCCGCCTCACGGCTCTCCTTGCCCACTTCGATGAACATGTCCACGCCCCTAACTGCCTCTCTTAGCCCCCAGACTTGCCGACCAGCCCATGTCCCACGTCCACGTCCTCTTCCCTCCATCCTGTGTACTCCCCATGCTGCCCCCACAGGGCTGCCTCAACTTCAAACTCCTCCTTAGTATTCTTTTCCTCCCTGTCTGAGTCTGATGTACTCATTCCTGCGGGAGCAGGAATCGCTGGATTCCACTGCAGTGAAGGAGCTGGGTGAGGCCAAGTTCACCGCGGCAGCAGTTGGGGCCTGCCGGCGTACCCTGGGGCACCATGCCAGGGAGGCAACAGGACCCCAGATGGCAGGGGGAGCCCTGGGGGCCTGGCCTGACCCCAATCTACTCCTGAGACTCAGTTTCCTGGTTGGCAAGATGAAGATGATAACAGCCGCCTTCCCGGGTTCAATGTGAGGCCCCGGTGAGATCATGAGCAGCTCTGGAGTCTGGCCCACAGTCAAGGCTGGGTGAAGCCACCTGACTCACCACAGATCTGGGCCCATTCTGCCGAGGGCACCAAATTAACCTTGTTCCGGCAGATGAGACGGCGGGTGCACGGCCTGTGGGATGAGCCGCCTGGTCTGCGCCCAGGGCAGCTGCTCGCCGGGCAAGCTTGGCCATGCCAGCACTACCTTTCGGAAGCCCCGGAGGCTCTGCTCGGCTGAGCGCTGGGGGCGGGGGGCTGGCAACGTCGAATGCTCCTGGGGCAGGGCTCAAGTGCTAGTGTCTGTGCAGACCCCAAGTGTCAGAATCAGTGATGTCAACAGAAGCACCCAGAGGCCTGGGCAGGAGTCTGGGAGACGCCCACTCGGAGCGCAGAGTCGGCGCCCCGGCCGCTCCCCTTTCTTCTCTGGAATGTCCACTGCTGCAGGTGCCCAGCAGGCCAAGGGACGCAAGATGCCCAGGTCAGAAGCAGATGTCGGGGCCTGGTAAGTGGCAGAGGCAAATGCCAGCAGAGTGTGGATGTGGGGCAAAGGGGGCGGGTGGGGCCTGCAGCAAACAGGAATGCTCTTGGCCCATCTGCTGCTGTGGGACATCGACCCGCCACCACTGGGCCTTCCGATTCTCCAAGAGTAGCCAGAAAGCTGCCTCTTGCCCTCCCGACATGTAAATGCGGACTCACAGTGCAGTCACGCGCCACTTGACAAAGGGGATGTGGTGTGAGAAAGGCATCGTCAGGTGAGCTTGTCGCTGGGCTAACACCATAGAGTGTGCTCACACAAACCTAGACGGCACAGCCCACCGCGCACACCCAGGCTGCACGGAACAGCGTCCGTGTTCACTGTGCTGAACACTGCAGGCAACTGTAACGCAAGGGCGAGTGTCTGTGCATCTGAACACACGAAAGGTAAAATAAAAATACGGTATCATGACCTGATGGGACCACCCTCGTATACGTGGTCCATTGTGCGGCACATGACTGTATCACAGATGCACAGCCATGGGCCACACGGGACACACCCCTGGGCTGGATTTGGCCCTTGGGCTGCGATCTCTGCCCTGATACAAGGGAGTTTTAATGCTCTGCTGGGCTGCAAAGTGAGCTCGCGGCCACCCCGAGAGAGGCCAGCTGGCCCAGGAGGGGGGACGGGCGCCTTGCTGTTGAATTTCTTTGGCAACCTGGTCACCTTCGTCAACAGGCGTGGAGCCAGCTGGATGGGAAGTCTGGGGGTGGGCAGGGAGGGCTGCCAGGGGCGGGCGGGCCGGGTGGGCCAGGTGGCAGGGGCCCGCCTGGCCTCAGAGCTGTGCCAGGCAAGAGGACCGAGGGCCTGCCCTCCTCCCGTGCTCTGGCCAGCAGCCAGGGACACAGCCTGGGCAAACGTGCACGGAGCGGGGAGTGGGGGGGCGTGCTCTCCCAGGCTGCGGCGCAGGCCTCTGTCTTCCTCCCTGAGGGGCTCGCAGTCTGACTAGCAGGCAGACGGGGGGTGGGAGGGGTGGAGGTGCAGCCCCCACGTGCGCCAGCGGCCAGCAGCTCTGCTTGATTTAAAAGGCGCCTGGAAAGCGAAGCCCCTGCCAGGCGAGCTGTTGGAGCGGCAGGTTCACAAACAACCAACACATGTCAGACATTACCGGGCCCCGCGCTGGCCACCACCGTCTATGGTTTTCACATGTGTTGTGTGTTTCCCTGGGCTTGTTTAGACTGGGCGCAGGCTGGAGGTGCGTGGCTCCTGGGCGGGCGCCTGGGGGCTGCCAAAGATCCTCCAGCGCGGAGGAGGGGTGCCCTGGAGACCGAGGGGAGGCGTGAGGCGGGAAACAGGGCTGGGAGACGGCAGCTTGCCTCCCCCAGGGCGGGGGCACCTGTGGTCTCTGAGCTGCCCTCAGGCTCCCTCCGCACAGGCGTGTGGGGACACCGCCTGCCTGGTTCTCGGGGCCTGTGGGGTCCTCTCAATCCACCCGCTGTGTTTCCTGGCCCTTCCCTGGTGTTCTCTCCCTGGGCGGCTGAGCCCCGAGGGCACAGGGCCAGGGTACGGGAGACAGAACACAGCCTCAATGCGCTCAGGCCAGGGCTGGCTCCCTTCTCCATTCTCGTCTCCATGCCCTGGTCTAAAACCCAGGACATTGGCACCATCCTCCGCGCCCCTAAGCTGGCCCCAGCTCCAAAGGCATCAAAGCCGGAGCGACTCCGGACGCCCCACTGTCCCCACTGCCTGCATCAACCTGACCCCCGGGCCAGAAAGTTCCATCCTGAAGTGTCCCGGCAAAGCACCAAGCTGGGGTCCTGCCCTGCTCCAGACATAGCCCCTTCTCCCCAGGGTGGTCAGAGGGACTTTGCAAAATACGAATTTACACACGTGACTGTTGTCTTTGTGGAAAACCCTCACCAGCACCGCCTGCCGAGCCCAGGGTGGAAGCGGGATGGGCTGGGGGCGGGGCCGGTGCTGGTCTGTCCCGTGGCTCTGGGACAGGATGGAGTGCATGTCCAGGTGGCCTGTGTTGCTCCCAAGCCCTGATGTACCCCCTCCCCAGCCCCTCTGCCTGTGCCGCCACCTGGGGCTGGCTGAGGCCACCGGATCTCTCCTTCTTGGAAGCCAGAGGCCTGCTGCCCCCAGATGCAATCCCACCCACCGAACACAAACAGGAGGGGGCGCAGAGTGCAGAACAGTGACACAGTGCAAGGCCAGGGGCCAGGACGGCCTCACGGGAGGGAAGTGGGGCAGGTGAGGGAGGGGCCCTGCCCATGGAGGTGAACCGTGGGGCCGGGAAAGCACACGCAAAGGTCCTGGGGTGGGGGGCAGGGCCAGGACTCACGCTCAGAAGATAGAGGGTGAACCATGACGTATTTCCTGGGCCCTGGGGTCTTGGGCTTTCACCGAGAGGGTGCTGGCGGGGGCAGGAGTTCACAAGGCGCACAGCATAGAAAGGCCATGAGCTGACGGCTGTTCTGGGTAAAGGATAGGCCGGGGGCCCAGGGGAGGGTCTGGGTTGGGCCAGGTCCTGACAGTGGGGCGAGCAGGACATGAGGACGATGGGTTAGGGTGGGGAGAGGACAGGAGAATTAAGGGGGACACTGCAGCCAGTGGGGGCCACTACAGGAGGGTCTCTGGGAGGGGCAGGGTTATCAGTGCTGGGAGCTAATGGATGGGCAAGGGGTTGACGTGATGTCCCGGCAGATGTGGCCGAAGGAGGCATGAGCATGGCGCTGGGAAGGGGCAGGGCTGCAGGGCCACAGGCAGGCGGCACAGTCAGACGTGGGGCGGGGGAAGCTGGCCCCACCCTGTCAGGGGCTGGCAGTGAGGAGGGGCAGAGGGAAGGCCTGGCCCACCCTGGCTGGGCTAAACCCCGCAGGGCCCCCCTCCTGGGCTCCCCAGCCTCTCTCTGAAGCCCCAGGCACTGCCCCATACCCTGACAGCCGCAGTCTGATCCCTGGGGCACCACGTGCTCCCCACCTGGGGCCTGGGCCCGGGCCATGCCCTCCGCCTGGGACGCCCTTCGCTGTTGCATCAGCCTGGAAACTCCGAGCCCCTCACGGAGGGTCTCTCGGCCTCCCCACCCCACCCCTTGGGATGCCTGGCACTTGGGACATGACTCCGCTAACTCGTCGCTAAGTCATCATCCAAACGCACGTGTCGTCCGCCAGCTGACGGCTTGGTGCGCGAACGCAGGAGCCCAGCCGCGTCCCGGGCCTTACCCTGGCCGGTGCCGCCGATGCCCAGGTGCGTGAGGGTGGCCGCGAGGTTGCCGGTGCTGCCGGAGCTGCTCAGTGCGGGGAAGGTGGGCTCCTCGGGGTCCAGCGGGGTGGGCAGCGGGGAGGGGAAGTGGATGTTGGTCAGGTCGGGCAGGGAGCCCCCCGTGTTGTGAGTGGCGGGGATCAGGGCTGTAGTGTTTTCCTGGTCCGCAGACGGGAAGATGCTGCGGAGAGGCCAGAGGCGGGAGGTGGGCTCGGGACGCGGCGGCCGGGCTTCCCCGGGAGCTGAGGTGGTGGCAAGAGGCGGCTGGGGCAGAAAATTAGGGGGTGCAAAATGACACCCCTCAATAATGTTCCACCGCGCAGCACCTGCAACAGGACCTTAGAAAGCAGCCTATTCCCAGGTGGGGGTGGGGACCTCCCTGGGCCAAGGAGGGGAGTCGTCCCAGGCACGGGCCTATCTGAGGGGTGGGCCTGCGGGGAGCTCTGTCACGGAGGGGCCAGAGCGTCCCCCGCGGTGGGGCTTGCCGGGTGGCCGCCTCTTGCCAGGACTTGCAGCCTCCACAGGGCAGAAGGAAAGCCCCGGGGGGTCGGCACCGCCCAGGGTGTGCAGGACGGGCCCTGCCGAGACTTACTTGATTCCAGGGACCTCACAGGACTTGGGCCTGGACCCCGTCTGAAAGAGAACACAGGACAGGCTGAGCCGGGGCCTCCTCGTGCGCACCGTGCCTCCCTGTGGCATGGCTGGTCCTCCCACGAGGCCAAGAGATGCTCGATGAGACCCGACCTTGGTGGGTGTCAGGAGAGTGAAGACCAGGTGGCCCCGCAGGGTGGAGAGGCATGTCCCAGACACGCCCAGGGTCACAGCCAAGACTTACGCAGAGAAGGTCCCCCTATGGGTCCCCTCCCCCAGCTCACGTCCTCAGTGGGGAGAGGGCCCGCTCTACTCTGTCCACCTGGTGTGGTGGGCGCGGCCAAGGGGTGACAGTCCCGTCAGAGCAGGCGTCCAGGAAGAATGTGGTACCCAGCTCCTTACATGCCCCAGGGCTGTGGCAGTCAGCAGCCAGTTTGGCAGAGGGGCCACTGGAAACCCAGTGCCCGAGGCTAAGTGCCCCTGCGGCCGCCCCCACCCCACCCCATTCCAGATCATGGCAGTGGGGGCTCCTGGGGCAGGAGCAGCCACCAGGCTTAGGGCAGTGGGTTGGGCCCAAAGTCCAAGGCAAAGGAGGACACCGAGTCAGGAGAGCCCAAGGAGGCCTGGACTGGATGGCCTAAACACAGCTCAGAGGCCACGGCCCTGCCTCGGGGCTGACCAGCCTTCCAGCCACAACCCAGAGGCGTGACTCCCACCCAGGACCACGGCTTCTTTGCGTGCTCCTTGAGAGTCCCGAGATGTCCCTCTGTTCTGCCGGCAACCACGCTCACCACCCACGGACCAGGGCTCGGGGAGCCCCTAACGTCACATCAGTTTCACAGCTTGGCTGGGAGACCCTTGGGAAGACACAGTGTGGGGCGGGCACCCACGACGGGCACCTCCTGCAGTGTGGCCCGCAGAAGCCCTGTGTTGAGCCACGGGAAGGCTCTTCCTCCCAGTCACAAGGCTGCATGCGCCTCCACGGCCTTCTCAGGCAGGATAGGGTCCAGCTGTGGGCTGGGGTCTCGGGGGCAGCGGGCAGCCTCTGAGCCTCCTCCGCCCATGGGCAGGGCCTGGGGCCAGGGGCCAAGGAAGCCTTGGCAGCAGGACCCTGCTTTCCTCCCTGTGCGTCAAGGACACTAGCACCAGCCGAGACGGGGATTGTCGGCTCCAGGCAGGGGCCCCCTCGATCTTGTTCAGAGACAAAGGAGGCAGGCGTGACCGGACAGAGTCCTGTCTACTGACGGAGGCTCCGCGTGTGTCACGTTCCTGCCACCGGGCCCTTGGGCGGACGCTTCTGGCTGAGTTCTTCGGGGATTATCAGATGAGAAAGGCAAACCCACTGGCAGAGGGCGGGGTGGCTCCAAGTGCACACACCAGAGCGGGGAGTGCCTGCCAGCGCGACTGGGGCACCCCAGGGGTGGCGTGCGACCAGTGGGCTTTAAGCCTCTGCAGAGAATGCCGGTGGAACGGGTTTCTACTTGGCCAGAGGCTCCTAATTCTGAGAGTAAACATTCGCTTCATTACCGGATTTCTGCAACGCACGTTGGCCACGACTTTGAAAGAGCTCTTTGGAAAGCATTCCGCAGGCCTTACGGAGAGATTAATGGATTTCTGAACAGTATTAGAAGTTCACCCACCCCCTCCCTCCCACCAGGGGTGTGTCTCCCTCCACGTGGAGACTTGTCACCTTCCCTTCCTTTAGCAGAAGCATGACATCCGGCCACGCAAATGGACTGTGACCTACTTACCCACCTCTCTGCTGCTAGATGTTTGTTTTTCCAATTTTGTTTGTGTTGTTAGAATTCCTTTTCTTTTTTTTTTTTTAATGAGCCAAGGTGTTGCCATGTTGAGCAGGCTGGACTCGAACTCCTGGGCCCAAGCAATCCCCCTGCCTCAATCCCCCTGAGTAGGTGGGGCTACAAGCACACACCACCACGCCTGGCAAATTTTTTAATTTTTTGTAGAAATGGGGTCTTGCTATGTTGCCCCGGCTAGTCTTGAACGTCTGGCCTCAAGTGATTCTCCCACCTCGGCCTCTCAAATTACTAGGATTACAGGCGTGAGCCACCACACCCGGCCTTAGAATTCTTTTTTAAAGCTTTTTCCCTCTCTGAGTATGAAAGTCACAGGCACTCCCTGTGCCAAACTGAAACACACAGACGTGGATAAAAAGGTAATAGCACTGCCCACAGCTGACACAAGAGAGGACAGGTGGCCCTCACGTGGCTCCTCTTGGCTGGGTCCACCTACAGGTAGCCTGCGGACAAATATCTGCATGTTTATGTCTTTCCCAGATACCTTTATGCTTCTCTCTTCACATAAGAGCAGCATCATGCGTTGCTCTTGCGCCTTTAGAATTTCTTCAAAATCTCATCTCAGCAAGGGACCAAGGATAATTTCCTCAACAAATCCCCTACTCTTGAAGGTTCAAGTTGTTTCTAGTTTATTTCAAAAGCTCTGGATAAACACTTTTGAATAAATTGCTGTTTCCTCATTCCTACAATCGAATTCCTGAGGGATGAGATTTCTGGAGGGAATGCTTTTTTGAAAGGTTGTTGATGCAGCTTAGTCTATTGCTTTCCCGGAGGGGACGAGCAATTCATACTGTTGATCCTTTCACTTCAACTTGACCAGCAATGGGTTTTAATTCTTCGTGTGGTTTTTGTCAGTTTTACAGGCCTATTGGTATTAAATAGACCTAAGGGATCTTCTGAATTTGGGCACAGGCAGATCTGAGTGAGGTTCACTCCCAGGGAAGGTGAAGTCACCCCAACATGCCATTTTTTAAAAATTTTTTAATTTTTTTTTTGAGACAGAGTCTTGTTCTGTTGCCCAGGCTACAGTGCCGTGGCATCAGCCTAGCTCATAGTAATCTCCAACTCCTGGGCTCAAGAGATCCTCCTGCCTCAGCCTCCCGAGTAGCTGGGACTACAGGCGCCACCACACCCAGCTAATTTCTTTCTATTTTTAGTAGAGACGGGGTCTCGCTCTTGCTCAGGCTGGTCTCGAACTCCTGACCTCAAGTGATCCTACTGCCTCGGCCTCCCCAGAGTGCTGGGATTGCAGGCGTGAGCCACCGCACCTGGCCTCAACATGCCATTTTGTTATGTTTGCCCCGGCTGTGCTCAAAAAGAAAAAGAAGAAAAAAGCACTTTTGAAAGCCCGTAGGCTCTTACCTTCTTGGTGTCCCATGCTTGCTTGGAAAGGTTTTTGTCTGCCTCCGACGTGGTCTCTTCCATTCCTGGGACTGTTAACAGTAAGACTGGGGCAGGGGGTGGGGGGAGGAGAATCAGAGAAGAAATCTCTTTGCAGCCGCATGGTGGCACCAGGAGGTCACTTCCCTGACACATAGTCACGACTGCGGTAAGACTGGAATCGTCCTAACAGTAACTTCTGCTGGGGATTGTACTAAAGCTACAAAAAGGGTTTCATTAAAAAAAAAAAATTCAAATAAGTCAGAGAATCTGTGACTTAAAGAGAAAGAAAAACAAAATCTCTGGAGCCCAAGGACGAGTGGATCTTGACTCCCACAGAACCAGCTTGGGCCTCGGAGGCCTTGGGCTGCCAAGAATAGCCGAGAATCTCTCCCATGAACGGCCACCAGGCCCTGTGTGACCCACGCGCCTGCTCTACACCTACCATGGCGTGGACATCTGCTCTCCCCTCTGGGCTGTTGGCATCCCCCAGTGGCTGGGCCCTTCTTGGACTACCAGCACCAAGCACAGGGGTTCAGAGCCTGTTGCTCACTGCTAACAGAGGCTGGACGGATCCACCGTGGTAGCAGTGGCCCCGTGAGTTAGCTGCGATGCTGGCCAGTCCCAGAGCAAGAAAGAAGGGTAAGGAAGCTCTGAGGGACAGGATGGAAGGGCATCATTTGAGGCCCTGGAACCAGCTATGCCTGAAGGCCTCTTTTCTTGGACCTTGCAGTCAGGTGACATTAAACATTTTCCTATTTTCTTTCTTTCTGCTGCAGGTTTTGTTTGTTTCCATTTGCAACGGAGAGAGCTGTAATGAACAAAGCCAGATGGGCCAACTCTTTTTTCATCTCATTGCCTTGGGCCCTCCTAGGAGAGTGGAGACAGGTGATATGTCCCCTCCCCCCAACACTCCCCTCCAAGGCCAACCAGATTCCGACCAGCAAGGGTGCTGGGTCACAGCTCCCTTCCATCATTAGTGTCCCAGGGGATGGTGACATCCTTGTGCCTACCCCCCAAAACTATGTTTGTGGGGGACCCAGAAGGGGAGGCAACAGCCTCAGAACAGCACCCCACGTTGGGAGCAGCAGGGAAGCCCCAGGCATTGTGTCTGTCCTCATCACCCCTGGGTGTTCTGGAAGCTTCCTTTTCATTATGGAGACATTTCCTTCTGCATCTTGCCTTTGCTGCCTGCTGAGCTGGAATCCCAGGGGTGAAGTTCATCCGGCTGACAATTCTACCAGAGACTCTCCTGCACGCTCACACTCCCACAGGGTGACCTGCGATGGCATCCAGGCCTGAGCCACATGCGAGTTCCAGCTGCAGCGTCTTGGGCCAGGTCAGGCCGTGCGGGGCTTCCTGGGGTTGGCCTCACAGCACGTGCGCTCCCTTCTCTGGACGGCACTGTCGCCGTTCGTCACACGGCACATGTCCAGGATGCTGCCTCCACACCGGGCTCCAAAGTGGGGCCAGAGGCCCGAGCACAGATCTGCCCCAGCCACGGGGGTGCGAGCACGGCCTGGCTAGAGAGGGCGATCTGGGCTGTCCGGGAAGACACGGCCTCTTTCTTACTCACTGTAGTCAGGACAGGCCAGGGGCGGGGGATGAGGAGGGCTCTGAGCAGCAGAGCCAGCAAATAGTCCAGTGTGGAGCCCTGGGTGGAGTCGCCCTGAAGCTGAGGGTCTGCTCCTAGACTGCTCTGTCATGAGCTGACAAATGCCTCTTTTGTGTGGGCTTGCTGCCCCCTACATTTGAAATACGCCCCCGGACTTTGTAGCCATGCCCTGAATCCAGGAACAGAAGCCAATGTGCATTTGTGGGGTTGTTTTCTCTGCCTGGAAAACTCCTATGCACTCTTCAAAACCCAACTCAAGTAGTGCCACCTCTGAAAGTTTCCCTGAGCCCCTGCCCTTACCCCAAAGCACAGTCTGAGTCTTCCTTCGAAGGTCTGTCCACCCATAAGCTTGTGACCTCCTGGAGCACAGGGACCACCCACTGGACTTGCCTGACCCCAGCAGAGACACCCAAGTCCTCTGTCCGTACCTCTTTTCTGGTGTGTGTCCTGGGACCCACCCGTAAAGGATTCTGGCTGGGTGGGCGTCATTGTGCTCTGGTGCAGGGCGGAGTCAGAATTGGTCCTGGGGGGAGGAGAGAGACAGTGAAGGACAGACTTGGCCCCAGGGAAATGAAGGTGCAATCCTGATCCCACCCTGTCCAGCACAGGCCTCATGGCCACGGTGGCAGCTGTGGGTCATTTTTGTAAGCTGCTGCACCTGAAAGCCCTAAGGACGTTGTTCTGAAAAGAACCGCCAGAGTGACTGTGGCTTTCACCTGCCAAGCCTGGTGAGAACAGACATCATCAGCAGAGATGTCCCCTGGTTCCTAGCCAGCCCCTCCTGTCCCTGCCCCCCCGAGAGTTTCTCCGCTTGAAGGAAAGGATGGTGCCTTCCTGCTGAAACCCTGAGACGGAGCCCCGCCGGTGCCCAGCTTTGGGAGTACGAGCCCCCAGCCTGTCACTGGGTCCCCTCCTGTGACAAACATAAATGGGCCACTCTGACCTCCAGGATGCTCAGTGACAGCTGGGAAGGGAAGGCTTGGAGAAGGCCCTGGAAGGAATTCAGGTTCTGGGGGGAGCCCTCAAGTTGGCAAACTGCCCTGAGGGGAGAGGTCTTGCTCCAACCAGCCCAAAAGCTACCAGGAGCCAGGACAGCCTCTGCCCCGGGGACCCTGCTTCTGGCAACTGATAACTACAAAGGACAAGATGACCCACTCTGCTCCTGGCTACGAATGTCTCAAGGGAGGGTCCCCAGAACGGCTCCTTGGCTACCCCCAAAAACGTGAGTCCAGCTGCACAGCTGGCCATTCAAGCAGGGGGGTAAGGGCCACGTGCACCCGATGGGGACGTCCCAGCCACTGAGAGTGACTTGGGGGAAACTTGGTCCAAACAGAAAAGTTGCAACAGACCAGGCCAATGGAGTCTCAGACCCCGGGACCAGGTGTCAAGCAGTTGAGGAGCTGGCCAGGATCCTCTGCCAGCTGCTGTGTGTCCCTGAGCATGTGTTCTGACCTCTCTGTGCTCAATTTCTCTATGTCTTAAATGGAGATGAAAACAACATCCACTCCATGGAGCTCCATGCATGGTATTCAGCTCCTGGACGGGACGGTGGGAACAAGGCCTGACCTATGATACGTGCTTGGCGGGGATTTAACTCGGTGGTTGTATACATGTGTGCGTGTATTGTGAACAGCTCGCTTACTTTTGCTCTTTGTTTATTGAAATCGCCTACACGTAACTATATTTTTTATTGTAGTAAAATACACACGACACAAAGCATACCCTTTTAGCCATTGTTAAGCACACAGTTCTGTGGCATTAACTACATTCGCACTGTTGTGCAGCCGTCACTTGCACAGCTGTAGGTATGTATATTAACTACATTACTATCGATACTCTAGACCTTTCTAAATGATGGCATGATGGGTGATTTTTTTCCCTTCTAGGTACATTTACGTATTTTCCTAATCTTCTAATGCAAACGTATAATGCCTTCACAATCACGTTTTCAGGGACGGTGAGCGATGTGGGAAACAACTTCCATACAGCATTGAACGAAAAAAGCTACGATGCTGAATATCCAACGTTACTCCCAATTTTGTTTTTTTAAAAAAGTCATAAATGGGGGTGCTGGAAGACTCCCCAAAGCTGCAATAACCTCGGTGTTGCAGGGAGAGAGCTGATTTCTAGAAACTTCTGGATGCTCCTTAGTTTTGTCATTTCTAAAGCAAGTGCACGCTGGTTTTCCGCACATAACCACTATGAAAGTTTGGTTTTGTTTCCAACAGGAGGCTGGGGGAGTGGGGGGTGGCCCTGGCCACTGACCTTCTCCAGCTGGTGTCCGCTGGCGGTGAGAGGTACACAGTGCCGTAGGGGCAGCTGTCGGCGTGAGTGGGAGTTAAGGGGACAGTGCTCTCGGCCCAGACTCCGCCTGCACCAACCACTCTCAGCCACAGGGCAGAAACCCCCAGCCAGCCCGACTGGCCAGGCTGTTGGGAGCCCACAATGGGCCAGTAGGGCGGGGGGCGTTTCCTGCCGGCCTTCCTTGCTGTGAGCAGCCCCCGTTCCAGGGGCTCCCCGGGGGTACGGCCCCGTCCACCTAGCACTCAGCACTCTCCTCCGCGAGCACACGTGCAAACTACACCCCTTCCAAGGGGGGCCTGGGCTGTGAAACCGGGGCCCATGGGGGCCGCGGGGAGTCTGAGTTCAGCTGACCCTGGTCTCGACTCTTAATTTGGGGCGGCTCCCGGGCCCGAGGGTCCGTCTGGGCCCAGCTGGTTGCGCTCCCCCAGCCCGCGGAAATGAGAACCGGAGAGGAACAGGCTTCTCTGTTCTGGAGAGCCGGGGTCCCAGGAGCAGCCAGAGGCGCAGACTCTGGCGATGGGGCCCAGCTGGCCAAGCCCCAAGGAGTGGGGTCGGGGGGACTCTGGCCAATCTCCGCTTCAGCGAGGCGGGGAGGCGAATTTTACACATGTCTTGTGGAGACAGAGCCTCCCTTGGATCCGAGTCCCGCTCAGACCCACTGCCTGGCTGGGCTGCCACCACATGGTGCTCAGGATGGGTCCGTGCACTCACAGCCCTCCTGGCCCTACTGCCCAGCCAGACTCCTGAGTCCTCTGTGGTCCAGTGGCACCTTCCTCAACTCCCGCCTCAGGAGTTGCTCCCTGTGGCTCCTTAGCCCCCAAGCCTGGCCAAAGGCTCCTCAGCTTGCAGCACTGCCTCCTCCAGAAAGTCCCCCTGGATTACCCCGAGATCAAGCCTCTCTCTCGGTGCCGCCCTGATTCTGTCCCCAGAGCCAGCAGCGGCCAGCTCCATCAGAGCCTGCTGGGTGAACCCAGGGTCCTGCAGTTGCCTGTCCCACCACCACCACGCTCATCCTCCGAGACAAAGGATATCTGCCGTCCATGTTTGTCCACAGATAGGGGCCGGCGGTGCGGGGAGCCAAGCCGGCCACGCTCCCGGTACACTCTGTCCACCAGCCCGTGGTGCCGGGTGGTCCGGCTGGTGTCCAGACCCGAAGACTGGAAAGGTGTCTGGGGGTGGGCAGGAGGAGACAGAAATAGAGAGAGAGAAACCCACACAAGGGTTACCAGCTGTGGCCCGAGACCTGCCCCAGCTCTGCCCCCGGGATCCGGCCTCAGGGTCCCCACTCCAGAGCACCCTTGGCCACCACTCCACAGCCTGGTCGGGCTTCCTCCTTCAGCCCCAGCTCCCTGGCCCTCCAAGCCCTGGGGGGTGGGGGGATGCGAGCTGGGGGTCCCGGGAGCCAGGGCGGCAGAGGCGTGCAGTGCGGCCGGCATGCACAGGCCAGGCAGAGCGGCACAAGCTCGGGGCCCAGTGCCGGCCGGGGTGCCAGGGGTGCAGCTGGCCGAGCAGCCCTTCTCCCCAGCCTCACCAGGTGCAGACAGGCCTCCGCCCTCTCTCTCTGGGCCTGGCTGGCCTCCTAGCCCCACCTACGTCATCCCTGGAGGGGCCTGCCAAGAGACGGCCTAGGGGCTTCCAGTCCGGGACTGTTGTGGGGCCCACCTGGCCAAGCACTAGCTCCCAGGGGGGCTTCCTAGCTGAGCCCAGGGCTGCTCTTGCTTGAGACACGGCCCCCACTCCCCTCCCCCGCTGCCTCATCCCGGCACCACCAGGGCCAAGTACAGGCGCATTCGGGATCCCTGGCCCGCCGCTCGGCTGGATGGGGCTTCCTTCCAGCACCTGGGGCTGGTACAAGGCCCCGGGCCAGGCCCCGCTCCCTGCCCAGACCTGTGCTCTCAGGGGCACCCGGAGCCTGTCCTCTGCCTGCCCTGGCCCTGTGCTGCCCACTCGCCATCTGACCAGGGCGGGACGGGCAGCCTTTGCCGGCTCTGGATGCAGCCAGTCCCCGGCCCGGCCATCTGGCCCCTGAGCCCATCTGCCTTCTCTGGGCAGCCGGGCGAAGAGCAATTCTGATATTAAAATGTGTCTCCCCTTCCAGAAGATCGTCAACGGTTGGAGTCGCTGTTCTCCCCCACCTGTCAGAACATGCCTCGGCCAGAGCTGAGGGCCGACGGCTCGCCCAGCATCTGGGGACTCCCAGGCTATCGGGATCCAGCAAGGACGCTGCTGGTTCGGGTCCTTCTGCACTTTTGCCCCAAAAGGCTGTAGGCACGGGACACATGGGCCTGTGACAGCGAAGGTGGGAACCACGCTGTCCGGGGACACAGGCTCGGGAGGGCAGGGGCCATTTCATCTCCTCCAGAGATGCCTTAAAGCCCAGAGGGGAAACTGAGGCAGCTAAAGCAGAGTAAGAGGCATAACGAAGCTGGGGCCAGCCACGCCCTGGCTTGCCAGGTCCCTGCTCCTGGCCTGGTCTAGGACACTCACACACACGTATGCATGTGTTTATGGGGCTGGACCATGCAGTTTTGGGGCACATGCTTGGATTCTGCTCCATTGGACCCCAGCCTGGGATGCACAGCTGCGGCATCTGCCCCAGATGGACCCCAAGAGTCCCTGGGGCATCTTGCCACGACCACACGCATGTCCCGAGATGGGGGTGCAGAGCAGACCCGTCTCCGTTTGGCAGACGGGACACCCCCCTGGGAGCCACAGGGGCGGCCGCTTGGGGAGGGCACGGATGCCCAGAGCCCACACACGGGCCAGGGTCTTGCGGGCTGGCGCCGGGGATGCCGCGGCCTCAGCCTGGGAGCTCATTTACCAGAGAGACAGGAGCCGCTGTCAGGGCCTCCCCCAGAAATCCGCTGGGCTGAAAATGCAAAGAACCGAGACTTTGAGACGCTCCTGCCTCGCCGGCCCAGAAGGCTGGATGCGTGGGACCCCCCGCCCTGGGGCCGCGCCCTCGAGCTGAGGTCAGCAGTGCCCAGAGAGATGCTCTCCCCAGGGAAGAGGGGATGGGGCAACAGGAAGGGGACAGACAGGGAGAAGGGGAGAAAACCCAACCCGGGAAGGGCTTTAACAAAGAGACACCCAGAATCAGTCGCTGCCCTACAAGTGCACAGGATGGGGCACTCAAGCCAGCCTGAGGTCCCCTGCCCTGTCCCAGTGGTGGTGGTCATTGGGCTGGGGGGTGACTCAGGTGGGGCATTGAGCTCCCTGCAGAAGGGCCTAGCTCCACCTGGCCTGTCAGCAGACGTGGTTGTGGCCGGGACCACTTCCCAGCAATGGGGCAGGTATGTGACCACTGGGGGGACCTGTCCACCGCAGACGTAGTGCTGGGGGCAGCCCCGACTTGCAAGCCAGCTCCTCCATCCTGTCCCACCCTCATTTCCGCCTGCAGACCAGGGACAAGGAAGAGGACCACCGTGGACCTTATCTCTCGCTATTTATGATAAGTACGTGCACGGCAGCCGTGCAGCCTGCAGGAGCCGCGCCGTGTGGGCCTCTGCCAAGAAACGTCTGCAGACAAGTGGGGTCAGGCCGCCGGGCCTCCTTCTGAGAATTGCTGGGCTTGCGGATTAGTAAGGCGGGATGGAGCCAAGCCCCAGTGGCCCCAAGCGGTTCCCGCTGCCGCACAGCCGGCCAACAGGTGTAGAGGCTGCTGAAATGCTCGAGGACAGACCAGGGCTTGCCTCGGGGTCTGTGGACAGGGGACCGGCTTGGGGGATGGAAGTGAGCCCTGCCAGGCCACTCTGCTTTCTCTGGTCCCCTGGGCAGAAAAGAGTAGGCGGGGGCAGGGAGGGCTCTGACAGTTGCTTGGTGACCACTGCTGTCCCAGGCATCTGGCCCCAGGTAGGAGGCTACCCCCGAGGGAGGCAGTGCCTAGAAGGGGTTGGGGGCTCACCTGGAAGGGCAGGTCCATGGTGCCACTGCCAATCTGGTTCACATTGGGCAGGGAGCCGCCGTAGTACTGGCCCCGGCTCGGGCCCAGCTGCAGGTACTGCGACTTCTGGAGCTGGAGCTGCGAGAGACGGAGACCCGCTGCGGCGGGGGAGGGGCGCCCTGCACACCCTCCGGAGCGCCAGTCACGTGGGCGCCCACAGCATCGGGGAGGTCAGGGACCCTGTGACTCAGATGCTCCAGGAAACTAAGACGGCAGAGTCAGGAACCCCTGGTGCCTGGGGCAGGCCCTCCCGGGCAGGGTGGTGCACGGAGGAAACCCGCTTGGGGAGCCGGCTGACTGGGCCAGTCAGGGGATGAGCGCAGAGGAGGTCCCTCGCGGCCAGCCCGGGGGAGCAGCTTCTTATCACGGCCAGAGGCTGCGAAGCGACAGCCCAGACCCAGGAGAAATGGCCTTTCCCCTGGCCTGAACCGGAGGGGGCTGTCTCAGAAGCGCAGCGCTGGGGTTCAAAGTGTGGGACTTGTGATCCCCACAGCAGCCCGCACCGGGCCAGCATGGCTGGGTGGGCCCCCAGACTCGGCCTGGTTCCAGGGGATCCTGGTCTCGGGAGCCAGGCCAGCCGGGTGCCTTCATGCCCACTGCATCCCGCTGTCACTCATCTTTGGACCGGGGCTCAGAACCAGGGGCCCAGAGCTCCCTGACCAGCCGCGCTGCCTCGGAGCAGGGGGGACCTGGCCTCAGAGCCCTCACGTGGCTGAAGCTGATTTGCTCGCAGTGGTGGCAAATGCCCGACTCAGGCGGCACGACCTGCGGCCCTCGGGGATGCCAGTCTATGGCGCCCGTCGTGAGCGTGAGGCGGTGGCCGGGCACAAAGGGAAGGAGGGTGGGCGTCCACTCCGGCCCGAGCAGGGGCGGCTGCCAGGGCAGACGCTGTGTACACAACAAGGCCGGCTGGCGTTCCCTCACAAACAGCTCCTGGCAGTGCGCGGAGAGCTGGCCACCCCCGGCTTCCTGGGGGGCCCTGGACACCGGAGGCGGAAGTGAAGCCCAGGAACTGGCCGCTGGCCCGGCCGAGCACCTCGCCCAGGTAAACACCTGTTTCCTGCAAGCTGCGGTGGAGCCGACGGTGAGATTAACCTCGCTCGTTCTCGGGTGGTTCTCGCAGGGCTGCGGGTCTGGCCCAGGTCTGTGCAGGGAGGCCCCAGCCCTCGGGGGCTGGACACACGCACACCGTGAACACCCACTGTGTCTGTCCTGGCAGTCACGCCTGAGGAAGCAGGCCAGCTCCGGGGTGGGACGGGGGAGGGGGTGCAGTGGCGGGGCCCCCACAGCTCCTGGGCACAGGTCGCCTTCGCTCCACGGACCGCCATGCCCTCCTCACGTCCAAGCTGCATGGCAGCAAGAGCCTCTGGACGTGCACTTCCCACTGCCCACGTGGCCCAGAGGCCATGAACCCTCCTGGCCTCGGTTCCCCCTCCGTAGTGTGAGCCGTACAGATGGGTGCGTGTGCGAACACCTGGCGCGTGGTACAGGAAGTGCTCACACAATACGTGCTTTCTACACGGGCTCAACTGCCAGCTCCCGGGAGACCAGACGTCGGGGCAAGAACTCCCTGAAGCACCTTATTCATGGTATCTCCGGGCCAGAGGGAGCCTGGCACTCAGGGACGAGCTACAGGATTAGGAAGGGAAGGAGCCTGTGGCTCCCAGGCCCCACCTCTATCCAAGCCCTTCTCTCCTCGATGCCCCCTGCCCCCGACCCCCAGCCACTTTGCTGAGGAACCCTCAGGCTCTGCGGGGTCTGCAATGGACATCACAGGGGGGACTCCACTCTTCCTTCAGGGGACCCCACAAAGAGCTGTGCAGGAAAGGGTTAACCTTGCCCAGAGAGAGGTCTGGCCTTTGTCCCCAGCTCCTGGGAGGTGACCTCAAGCGCTCAGAATGTCCTGCCTGATAAGAGTGCCATTGTGCGCCTGGGGCCTTGCTCAGGCTGTGATCTGGGGCAGGGCCCCGGGCCACATGCAGCAGCATCAGCTGGACATCCAGAGGGAGCAGAGACTGAGGTCGGCCATGCGGGTGGCCAACCACCTCCACAGGGCCAGCCCCCAGCAAACCCTGGACACGAAGGCTCAGGGAACTCCCCTGGTCGGCAATCCCCATGCGCGTTGTCACACACTGACGCCGGGAGACAGAAGTGCTGTCCACATGACTCCACCGAGAGGGGACACCTGGATGTTCCAAACTGGACGTTCCAGCCTAGGCTCTCCTGGACCCTGCCCCGTCTGCCTCTAGCTTGGATGACTCTGTGTCCTTCACGGCAATAAACCGTAACCGTGAGTGTAACAGCCTCTGGTCGGTTCCGTGAGTCCTTCTAGTAAACTGTCAAACCAGAAGAAGGGTCTTCGGGACCCCCAAGCTCTGAAGTTGGTGTCAAGCATGAGGATAGTCTTGGGGACTCCCCAACTCTGCAGGAGCTGACCATCCTCCCAGGCGTGGCTGGGACCCCTGGGAGCTGGGGCCTCCTTCCTCAGGGGTCCTGGGGCGAAGAGACACCAGCCAGGGCTCTACCCAGGAGCCTCCTGCCTCAAATGAATGAGGAGCTGCCAGACGCTGCTGGGCAGGAAGATCACACCTATTCCCGACGCCAAGCCACAGTCCCTCGTGTGTCCCCTTGCCCAAGGGCCATCCCCCCACTCCCCACCACGGCAGGCTCCCCCCAACCACTGAGACATTGCAGACAGCTCCACGGACCCAGCAGCCCACCAGGGCCTGTCCCTAAGCCGCACCTCCCACTGCTGCGGGAACGAGTGTGCGAACACACGACTGGGTGAACGAATGCATGAGCGCAGGAACGAATGCATGAGCGCAGGAACGAATGCATGAGCCGACGGTGCTGCTCCCGCTCTCTGGAGCCAACTTTCACAAACTGGCTGACGGGCCCATCTAGAAGCCGCAGGGCAGCTGAGGTTAGAACCCAGAAGGCCTCAGGCGGCAGCTCGGCCACGCCCTGCCTTGAGTGGCTCTGGGAGACACAGGCCATCTCCACGTGCCCCTCCCTCAGAACAGGTGGCTGGCTCCGGAGGGGCCTCCCAGGAGGCCGCGGATTCCAGGAGTGGGGATGCGGACATATCTTTCTGTGGGAGACAGTTCACCCCACTGCAGGCCTTTTGAGGTGCGGACCAGTATATTCCATTCTCCACATGGGAAAACTGAGGCCCAAAACACCTGGAACTCGACCCTGGTATGACCCGTCATGACTGGGGACAGGCATCCCCTCCCGGGACCACAAGAGCATCACCTTCCATTGTGGATGGGAGCTCGCCAGCTCCTCTGGAGGCGCCACTGGTGCAGATGTGGCCCCAGAAGCTACCGGCCAGAGCGTCAGCTCGATGAAGACCCCAACACGCAGACGGCAGGGACCCCACCCCAATACAGCCTGCACCAGTGCTCCCCTGTGTAAAGCCCTTCCTCCCCCAGCCCCCAACTCCCCCTACACAGTCCTGCACAAAGGGTGGCCTCTCAGGGCTCCCCGACCCCATCCTTGCTGATGGGCCCCCTGCACCCCCACCTCTGTCTGTCCGCACCCACCCCCCTGCTGAGCCCATTCCCCTCCCCCCATCCTGGTAGCATCCACAGGGCTGGGTGGCACAGGGGCCCCAAGGCCGGGAGCAGGGGGCTGGGTGGTCCTGGGGACGCCTGGTGCGACATGGCTGTGGCTACTTCCCTGGGATGTGAAGAGACATCTGTGCAGCCCCCAGTTTCCTGGGGAAGCCTGCACAGGACACAGTGACACCCCCACCTGCCAGCCCCTCCCAGATGGAGCTGGTCTTGGTCAGGCCAGGCAGCAATCACCATGGCAACAGCAGACCCTCTAATGAGATTGAGGGGAGCAGGTGGGCTGCTCGCTGAGCTCTGCCCTGTAAAGCCACGGCAGGCACGGGGGCTGTGTCATGGGGCCAAGGAGGCACCATATACCCAGAAGAGGCCTCAGTTTCCCCTCTCCTCTCCATGGCCTTTGAGGTCTGGCCCTCCACCCTCCCTAACCACTAAGCTCCAGCACACAGGCCTCGGCACAGAGCCACGAGCCGCTGCCTCGGGGCCTTTGCACGGGCACTACCACCAGAAGGCTCCTCCCACTGGGTACCTCACCCGAGGGGGTGGCCCTCCCCACAGCTCACCGTGTAAAACCCCCTGACCGAGGCCTGTCTCCTCCTGTAAGACTGCCAGCCCTGTGGGGGCCTGGCACAGCAGTGGGGCTCAGCACACATGTGGCGACCCAAAAACAGATGAATACCGGAGCACAGGAATGACTCGCAGACGGGCTCTCACACTCCCGGGCAGGGGCCGCACTTCTGCGTCTGTGCAGCACCGCCCCTTTTGCCCCCTGGTTCAGAAGGGGAAACAGAGGCTCAAGGAAGAACAGACCACAGCCTGAGCGCAGAGCCACTGTGCACCCCCGCTGGGGCCCGGCCTGAGAACCACCCACGACAGGGCGAGGGCTTTCTCCAAGCCCTGCACAAACACATGGCTCGCCTGGATCCTGAGGGCTGACCAGGACCCCGGGGATTCGTGCACCCCAGCCCTGCAGCCCGTCACTCAGGGCTCCCCAAGGTGGAGTCCCTGGGAGGCTGCGAAGGGTAGAGAGGCCGCAGAACAGGGCCGCCTTTGGGGGTGTTCCCTGAGAGGCAGGGAGGCTCTGGGGCTTCGCTGCACTTTCCAGGTGGGCGCGTGAGATGTCAACTCCCTAGGATGGGACCCTCTGTCCTCACAAGTCCACGCTGGCTAGGGCACTGCTAGAATGAACCGGAGCTCGGCACCCACCCGGCTCTGTCATGGAGGCCAGTCCAGCTCCTGGCTCCAGATGGCCACCACGAGTGTCTCCACCTCCCTTCACAGACTCGAGGCCAGAGCCTGCCCAGTGCCGGGCACTGTCCTGGGTTCGAGGGCCACGGCGGCAGGCCAGACACATAAGGCGCTGCCTGCAGGATGCATGGCCCAGAGCGGCAGCAAGAAGAAGATAAACAAGGAGGTGGGAGGTTCGGACAGCAGTGGGCAGAGACACAGCACTGGGAAAGCTTCTGGGGGGAAGTGAGAAGCCACACAGACGGAGGGAACAGCAGA